TGTAGAAAACCTAGAAGGAACAAACATTCCTACCCTATTTTTTTTCCTCTTTTTTAAACCTCCTTAGTTCATATTGGATTGGGATTTTAGCTTGGGCTTCCTTGCCTTATGTGTTGCCCAACCTTGGTCCAATTAGTCCATAAGTTTTCTAGGGATTTACTTGCTACTTTTACATTTTCTTGTCCTTAAATTTAAACAAACCCAAACTTGAATTGATTTAATTTAGTTTAATTTAATTAATTCTTGCTTCCAATTTGGTGGGAATCCAGACAATAGAACATGTACCATGTCAAGGGATCTATTACACATCCAAAGAGGTCCAGTCATAAGAGCTAGAGCTACGAAGATGCAAAAGGCTTTAAATGGCCTTATTAAGCAGATCAGGGTTGAAAACAACATGCAACAAGTAGATCAAAGCTTGAATGATTATCAAGGCATGATAAACATTATTCAAGTTCAAGAGAAGCTTAGTTGAGGTCATTTGCATTGAATTACACAGTTTGAGTCAAAATTGCACAATTCTGTCCCAATTTGTAGTAAACTGATATTTTATGTTATTTTAGGTTATTTTAAGTGATTTTCACATTTTCTATATTATTTTTGGGCTAAACATTCATTTATTTGAAGCCTAATTCATGGTTATTAGGTCTAGGACTTAGGGTGTTAGTTTCATATTTTGATTAGGATTAGTTTTCTCTATTTAAAGGGCTTGTAATCCTAATTGGGAGGCAGCTATTGAATTTAAGTTTTTGAGAGATTTTTTTCTTTGGTTCGTTTTAGAACTTTACAAAACTTACCAAGATTATTTTTGTGGTGTTCTAACCTAACTTCTCATTCTCGTTCTTAACCGTTCAAAGGTGTGGCATCAACCAATTTTATACCTCTAGTTCTTATTGCATCGTAGACAATAAGCCAAGGTTTTTACCTCTGGTTCTTGTTGTGACATAGACAATGGGTCAAGGTCCTATCATAAACTTGATTTGGCTTTCATGGAGTTTCAAAATCCCTTATTTTCCTGTGGCTCTGATACTAAGATGATGAGAACCCCAAAGAGAACAATGAGACCCATAGCGTGACAAGGGATTTCGAAACTCCAGGAAAGCTAAATCAAGTTTATAATAGGACTTTGACCCATTGTTTATGTCACAACAAGAACCAAATGTAAAAACCTTGACTCTTTATCTATGATGCAATAAGAACCAGAGGTATAAAGTTGGTTGACGTCATACCCTCAAACGGTTAAGGACGAGAATGATAAGTCAGGTTAGAATGCCACAAGAATAATCTTGATAAGTTTGATAAAGTTTTGAAATGAACTAAAGAGAAAAGTCTCTCAAAAACTTAGATTCAATAGCTGCCTCCCCATTAGGGTTACAAGCTCTTTAAATAGAGAAAACTAATTCTAATCAGAATAAGAAACTAACACCCTAAGTCCTAAACCTAATACTAATCAGAATAAGAAACTAACACCCTAAGTCCTAAACCTAATAACCATGAATTGGGCTTCAAATAAATGAATGTTTAACCCAAAAATAATACAAAAATATGAAAATCACTCCAAATAACCTAAAAAAACATGAAATATCAGTTTGCTATAAATTACGTTAGAATTGTGCAATTTTGATACAAACTATGTAATTCAGCATGAATGACCTCAATTAAGCTTCTCTTGAACCTAAATGATGTTTACCATGCCTTGATAATCATTCAAGCTTCGATTTACTTGTTGCATGTTGTTTTCAACCCAAATTTACTTAATAAGGCCATTTAAAACTTCTCGCATTTTCTTAGCTCTAGCTCTCGTGACTGGACCTCCTTGGATGTGTAATGGATCCCTTGACATGGTACATGTGCTATCGTCTTGATTCCCATCACAATTTAATGCAAATATTGATTAATTTATTTCTCTTGTAAAAATAATATTTTCACATAAATTAATCCATATCTATAAACTTGGATTTATGGAATTGCTAACCTCTATAACACAGTTAGAATGTGATCTTCTAAGTTTCCATTGCAATGGTAGTGAGAAACAATCAAAGAAAAATAGTGGTGTCTATCAACAAATATGACCGCCTTAAGTGATGGAAAAGTAGATGGTTTCAACTAATGTTCCTATGACCACTATACTTGTGTAATTCATTCATTTCATAAAAAATATTTAAATCAAGTAAGATGCATGCTATATGTTATCATTCTTAAAGCCTAATATATCTTTCTTTGATTCCCAAGATAGACAAAATTCTTGTATAAATCATTCATTCTTGACGTGCTATGGACTTTGCAAGTAGCCTCATCTTAATCAAAAGGCCACAAATATCTTCTCTCATAAACTCAAGAGCAATGAATCTCATTACTCTCATGCAATTCATTATGTACCAAATAACTGTATTACTCGCAACACCTTATGGTGGCTATTTTTAATAGCATTAAAGTACACGAGTTCTTACAAACAATAATGACAAGTCAAAGGATCACTTACACTAATGTCATAGCTAAGAAGATACTAATGACATGTGTATGTAGAGCTCTCATAGCGAGTTAGTCCGATGCACTCTCTATGTTTGAGTCACCCATTGGTGATACATGGTTTTGTGAGAAAAAGTCTTGCCATCTAGTAAAACATCACACATGATGGTCTTTACATCATTGAGATGTTCCATCTCAATGACATATACCACTCATGGACAATTTAAGAATGTCACTATCACATCATACAGTTTTCATTAATAACAATGGCTATTATTACCATTTGATACAACTAACATTATAATGTATCTAGAATAGCAAGAGATATGTTTGATAAAGAATGCCATAAATATAATAAGCATAATCATAAGTATATAAGATTATTTTGCCAACGTAATTGGCTTATACAACATACTCTAATGCAGTCTCATTTTCGATTTTTGAACATATGACCTAACTAATAACATAAAAATAAAATAAAATAAAGGGGAAAGAAACCCTATTTCCCTTCATTACATCCTAAACTCATAAATGAAAGAGAATTATTTAAAACCTGTTTGGTTTGAAGGAAGGGGAGTAAAGATTATTTCCTCCTATCAAATTAAAATGTTGGCCCAACAATTTAATTTGTCTTGATGAAATGACCTCACTTCCCCCTTCTCCTCT